ATGGTGCGTGCGTGCGTGCTGTGGTGCGTGGTGTATGGGGCTGCTATGGTGCGTGGTGCAGGAGCATGGTGTGCTTGGGCTTGGTGCATGCGTCGTGTAAAAGGGAATATGCGTAGACGTTGCTTGCGAAGCAATGTAGTGCAATGAGTTCGTACAACAATACAAGAGCCACGTTATTGATGTGTGAAAGTTTGCTGATGTGGGTGGTGTAACGCTTAGCGACATCGGGCCCACTCCCACGTTCATTGAGCATCAAACGATTGTGCGGAATGTGAGAACTCCATGACTTCGTGCTAGGCACTTAGACATTTTGGACTACGTATTTTTGCTTAAATTGTCGTTTTAATTATTTTAATAAATTTTAGAGGCTAGGCCTCGGGTTTTGAGTGGCATTGGCAAAATTTATTTTGACAAATTTTTAGTTTTACCGACTTAATTAATTGGATTAATTGAGTTGGATGCGGAATTTAGTGGGAGCTTCAAATATTAATTGCGCTTATTTGCATAACCGGTTAGAACAACTTTAACTAGTTTTAATTAGGCGTGTTAATTGGGTTCACCACCTAGATTAGTTACTAGTTCCCGCGTGTTTATGCATTGTTACTTGTTTATTGTTGTAAAATACACGGGGCATTCACAAGTAGTGAATGGATGAATGGAATGTATATTCTCTCACAAGTTTTATGAAATGGCAACTAGTGGGGCTCGATTAGGATAGAAAATACGGAATGCGATCCGTGATGTATTTTTGTAAAACTAAATACGGTCTACGTATCGTTGAGTAGTTTTGTACCTTAATATTTAGATTAGTCCTAATCGTAGATGCTAGTAGTTGCATTTAATTATGGTCAAGTCTTGAAGATGGAGGTTCTTGGAAGACGAAGCCATGAAGTTGCAAATGAAGACCTTTGGGAGATTTGAAGATCTCAAGGGGTCATGCTAGTTGCCAAATACATCTCTATTTATGTGTTTCGATAAATATATATGTATATGAATTATATGTTAAGATTCATGTTTAGGATTCCGAATGTTGTGATGATTAATTAAGTTCACTTAAATCAACCAACATAGAAACCCTAGTTCCCTAAATATTGAGTAAAATTTTCCATTCCAAAATAATCGAACGAGGGTAGTGGTGGGCTACGCCAAAACGAGGCATCACTACCTCTCCAAGGAATGTAAGGCATACCGAGTATGCAAGTTGGTTTTGGTTGTACTCAACGATTTGAGTGATAGATTCCTAACATGTCGTGGCAAAGTGGATACATTGTTGATAGAGCATTAGATGCGACGATTTATTCAACCAAGAGTGGCTTTGAGTCATTAGCAAAGCGTTGCTTACCTTAGGAGATTGATTGTTAAGACAAGCCAAACCACGCTTAACCACTCTTTGTTTATTTGGATATTGGAATCGATTTATTCTCGCCAAATAGGGACAATTTTAATGCGTGGATAAGACGTTTAATAAGATTGAATATTTGCATGAATACCTTTCAATTTTCAAACTTATTATGTTATTTACTTGATAAATGGTTATACTTTGCACTTATATTTGTAGAATTCCAAATCAAACTGTATTGCTTTCCATGATTGGTAAAGGAAATCTTTGAGAATGGTTCTTAAAGAAAAGTAAAGCATTTCTAAGATACAATTCTCATAAATGAATTTTTTTAAAAAGTGCAAAAGGGCAGTTGGATATCATGTATTCAAAATTCAAGGCAGTTTTGATAAAACATGAAGTATTGAGTTGCAAACTCAATATTGACAACGAACATATCTTTTCGCTTAATACATAGATGAGTAGGACTCATTGTTGTAGTAATTCAAGCATGAATTAAAGGAAAAGATGGAACTTTGTTTTACGGCGCATTATGCCGAACAAAGTATAAAAGTCAAAGACTCTTAAAGAAATGGTTCTTAAAAGATTATGAGATAGAGTATGATACGAAATATAGGAAACGAGGAACGAAGAAAAGGAATAAGATTCCATTTCAACCCATCGACATCTTTAGCAATGTCACATCGACAAGAACGTACTCAATGCTCTATTAGATAGGCTCTTGAAAGTTGATCGTTCGGAATCATTCTAAGACAAGCAAGTCTTACTTGTTGAAACCGACAAAGTAATAAGCTATTGTTCTTGGTATAGACAATTGAATCCGAAAGCTAAAGAGGATTTGAAAGAATATGGTTATATTCATCAAATGTGAACAAACTTGACCTTGAATAGTTCAAGAGTTTAGTGAAGTACAGAATCGACTTGGCAAGATATCAAAACGTCTTGATTAGATCGAGCGATGTTTGCTTGAGCCAAGCGTGACCATCACAAAGTTATGAAGTTGAAATTTTCATAAATAATTCCACAAAGAACATAGTGTCTTCACGGAGACCTGGATGCCATTTAAAAATGACTCGAACAATGATGGATCACATCCCTTCCTATAAAGTTCTTAAGATTTGCACAAAGGACTAATGTTACACTAAACAAAATGTCGAAAGCTAAGAATGTACGCCATATTCAGTTATGGATAGAATTATCTTCTAAATGTCTTTTCAAATATATGTCTAAAACTCTTAGCCACAGTAGGAGTTCATTGGCTCAGTGGGAGCTAAGTGACTCAGTGGGATCTCACCATCTTAGCAAGAGCTAGGTGGTTGAGTGGGAGCTTAATGGCTCATTAAAGGCTAAGATAGCTCAAGTGGGAGCTAATTGTTTGTTTCATCATTACGAACGTTTACCCAAAGACAATATATATGTCTCTTTGTAAGCATTGAAGTGAGACCATGGGCATTACCTCCAAAACCTAATTGAGAACATAGTGTTTGTTTCTCTAAGTGGTGTCTTTTTGGAAAGTAACACGTTTCCAAAGAGACAAGTGGAAGGAAAATGACCTCGATGACCATCGAGCTTAGCAACAAACTAGAATTGAGAATCTCGGAAGACCTTAAAAGGGCTTCGTGAGAATGCTTGATCAAGAATACTCAAAAGGACTTTACAAGTGCCTTAAAAGAGAATTCATTACTCACAAAACATCAGAAATGTTGGAGTAAGATCAACATAATAAAAGGGCTTTGGAAGCGCCTTGAAACTCAGTGGTTGATGCAATTGCCGCGTATAGGTATAGAATTCACCAAAGGCTAGGATTGAATCCTATAAATTTCTATTAAGTTAGAAATAAAACTAAGACTTACAAGCATACTATTTACTATTAGATAGTAAAGGAATAATGTCTTGTAAGATAGCTACGTCAAATCCAAATTCCGAATATTGGTTAGAGGCTATAAAAATCCGAAACAGACACCATGTTTAAAAATCATGTTTGAAACTTGATTAATTTGCATAAAGGGTGAAAGACCCATCGACTGCAAATATGTTTTCAAGGAGAAAACTAACAAATGTGGAAATGTATATGCATACTGATGAGTGACATTTATGTCACTCATAGGGAGTAGTATTAGAGTAATTTTCTTGTTTATTTTATCTTATTTTCCCTTTATTTCTCTTGTTTTCTGTTTAATAACATTTCTTGTTTATTTGGTAATTTTGTCGTGTTTTAGTTCTCTTCGTAGTTTTTATTAGAATTAGTTTATTTTCGTATTTTATTTGCTTTCGTTTTATTTTATTTCGTTCCTTTCCTTTGTTACTTTCATAGTTTTACTTAGTTTTAAGTTTATTTTATTTACTTGTATAGTTTTATGTCTTTATTAGTTTTAGTTTTATTTCTCTTATTTCTATTTTTACTTTTATTTATTTTTATTAGTTTAGTGTTACTTCTCTTTTTTCTATTTTATTTTATTTATTTCCTTTTTATTTATTTTATTTTATTTGTCTCGGTTTCACACTTTTATCCTCTGGTTTGTTTGTGTGTAGGCTCGAGTTCAAGGTCCAAGTCAAGGCTTTTCAATTGCTGCCCAAAATCAGCCTACTGCCTCCTTCCACCACACAGCCACTCACCAGCAATATAACATTCTCCAGCCAGCAACAACCTCACGCCTGACCACCATCCACATCAATTCACAAACCACCAAAACCCCCACCAATTACTACCTAGCAGCCGCAACAGCGCACATCAACATCCACTTATCGCAACCATTCAACACCTAGAACCTCCCCTGTTCCACCGTCCAACCAACACCCATTTCAACCACCACCAGCCACGAAAACCCACAGATCTACCAAGCATCACAGCCACCACTACCCCATGTTCTCACACCAACGCGCAACCCCACAACCACCAGCAACAACAACTGCACCACAACAGCCCCTCACCAATACCCCGTAACAGCCACCATCAAAATCCCCTGCTCCTTCGCCACCACAATCAACCACAGCAGCCACCAATCACCCCCGTAACAATCACCTACTCACCTGGGAACAGCCACCACCATCTCCAATTAACCCAATCACAAACCCATAATCAACCACCCATTACCAAAAGTCACAGCCGCACCACCATTCTCACGCACCTAAACCGCCATCAACCACCTGCACCACCGTCAACAACCTGCAACAACCTGCCAATAGTCATCCAATCACCAATTTGCACGAGCAAAATACAATTCCAATTAGGTTCGAGCAAACCGTTGAGAGTTCGGTCAAAGTACGAGTCTAAAACTTTTAAAGTTCTGTAAATTGAAGAGGTGTGGTCGAACACATCCATGGTTTGACCGAACCAACCCTGTAGTTCGGCCGCACCAACCCGTGGTTCGACCAAACCATGTCACGAGTTTCGCGCGTGACTCTTAATGAAGATAGAACGATTTTTATATGATGCTTGATGATAAACAAGGAGGATGAGCGGCAGTGGCGGAGCCACGGTGGGTTCAAGTGGGTTCATTGAACCCACTGATTTTTTGAAAAAAATTAAAAACTTTTTTTTTTAAAAAAAAAAAAAAATCAAAATAGGTTTAAATAGAATATTTGTGTATTATATGGCAACAAGTAAAGTTGTAGCCCAGTGGTTATTTTTACCTCTCATCATACAATGATACAAGAGTTTGTGGGTTCAGGGTTCGAAACCCATAACTCACACTTTTATTTTTTCATTTTGTTTCCTTTCATCCTGCTTCCCCTAATCCCCTGCTTCCAGCTTTCCTCTTCCTCATTCCCCCAAATTGCAAAACCCTAACTTCTTCCTCCTTCTCTTAATCTCTTCCCGTTCTTCCTCCTTGGCTCCTTCTCTTCCCGTTCTTCCTCCTTGGCTCCTTCTCTTCCCGGCGCACGGGCGCAGCACCGCAGAAGTCCGCAGCAGCCACTCAGGCACTCAGCCAGCACCGCAGCACGGCAGGTCGGCAGTAGGCCAGTAGTCACTAGTCAGCCCACTTTGCCGGTTTCCTTTAAGGCTTTAATTGTATGTCGTCTTCTATCTAGTTCTATCTGGCCTTCTGGGTTAATAATATATAAAGTTTTTGGTTTCATGATTTTTGTAGATAATTACGTGAATACGTGGTGTTTGAATGTGTGAATGTGTGATGAACTTTAGCTATCAATTTTGGGTTTTTGGGTGACTACTGTCTATTGAAAAAATGGTTGAAATTGGGGTCTTGGGGAAGGAAGTATCTGATTTTCATTTACTGATTTAGGGTTTGTAGATTGTAGAAGTAGTTCATTTGTTGAATTGTTGTCTGTTGACTTGAATTAGTGTAATTTGTATAGCCTGTACTTGAATTGTTGTTTGTTGAATACTTGAATTGTTGCTTGTTGAAGTGTTGAATGTTGATTGTTGGTTGAAGTGTTGATTGTCTATTGTTTTAGAGTGTTTATCAATGATTCAATGGAGGTTGTTTTAGAATGTACTACATTGTTCTCATGTTCTGTAATTAGTGTAATCTGTACATTGTTCTTGACTTCTTATCATGGGTTATCATCGATTTATTGCAGAAGTCGATTAGAAGGGGATAATCAGTGCTCGGTGCTCCACTGCTCCGTCATCCACTCATCCATATTTCGTGGCTCTGTAGGTGAATAACTGAATTTTTACTTCTTAATTTCATATATTTTACATACTATTTGTTTTGATCTTGAATGAATGAATTCTTGATAATAAATTATGATGTATTGATTTTTATTATCTAAAAAAAAATCTGAAAAAAATTGTATGCAATTGCAAAGATATTCTTCTTCTTAGTTTGCTGTATTGCTGTATGCCTCTATTGCCGTATTGCCGTATGCAAAGATATTCTTCTTCTTGAATCTTGATAAATTATGATGTATTGATTTTTATTATCTAAAAAAAAAATCTGAAAAAATAATTTTATAGTGATTGTGTGAACTTCTGTATTGCAGTATTGCCGTATTGGTGAGTGGTTTGCTTATTGATATTTTTTGGTTTATTTCTTTCTCGTATCCATTCTTTCCAGTTTCCAGTTAGCCTATTGTTGTTGTATTGTTGCATGTTGCTGTTAATTGGCGAGTGGTTTGCCGTATTGTTGCTGTTAGCCACTTAGCCTATCATTGAAACTGGTGAAATTCGTTGAGTTACTTTTGGTCTTTACATAATTGTATGCAAATATGAAATTCGTATAATTGTATTCAAATATGCAATTCGTACATAATTGTATGCAAATATGCAATTCATTCAATTGTAAATTATGATTCTGAACTTTCGAAATTTCGAACCCCCTATTTGGAAATCCTGGAGACGCCACTGATGAGCGGTGACGATTTGATGATGATGGTTGATGAACAGTGGTGATGGTGAGGTTCTTCAATTGAGTTCAAAGCTGCTAAGGAAAGTCGAGGAACGACTGGTTGTTTTGATGGGAATTGATTTCGTTTTTATTATTTTTCTTTTCTTTTTATTTTTATTTCTTTGTTTTCTTTTCCCTTTTTCTTATTTTCTTTCTTTTATTTTTATCTCTAGTTTTCTTATTTTATTTTTCTTTTTTCTTTTTACTTTCTTTTCTTTTCTTTTACTTACTTAGTATTCTTAGCTTAGTACAAATACCCATTTTTTGGGGTAATTAAGAGGGAGGAAAAACAATATCCATCTATTCTACTCTCTCATTAGTTTTTAGGAGAGATTCTCTCTCTAAGTTTAGGTTAGGATTAGGATAGTTTAGAGAGAGAAAGTGAGGGTTTCACCATTGTTGAGCTTGGATATTGAAGTGGAAGATTGCTCATCTTGCTTGTAGATTTTCACATTCAATCAATGAGAATCTCTAACTCTCTCTCCTCTATTTTTATTTACTTTATTTTGATTATTATTTTAGTTGTTGGTATTGCTTGTTAATCATGTTTATTCTTGATTGTTTGTTAATTAATCTTGTTATTAGCATGATTAGTGAGTAATTTCCCCATTAAGGGGATGGTTGTGGTGTAGTTGGATCTTGAGCATGTTCTAGATTTTAGAATTGATTTATTTGTGATTAAAGTCTTTATTTCCTTGATATTCTTTGATCTTCTTGCAAGTGCACATTGTTTGTTGATTAAAGGTGAATCTTTGCTAACAAGAAACGGAAGTTGACTTAGTTAAGTTTCATTACTATCGATTGTTATTTAATAGTACCTCCTACTATATGGTTCTAATGTGGAAACATAGAGGCTATGTTAGGAGAAGCCAATTGACCCCGGAAGGTGGCTATATTGGATCTTTTATTTCGATATTTGAGCATGTTTAGTTCATAATTAATTCAATTTCTATGCCTTTGTTTATGTTCAAGTGAATGATATACCTAAACTATTTCCCTTAATGTTTTATTTCTTGTTTTTGTATCTTTAGACTTTAGTTTATTTATCTCCTATTTCGGACTAGCTTAATTGTCGATAACATTTGGTGGTGTATATTCGTTCTCTGTGGTTCGACCCCTATGCTTGCCTTATACTCGTATTAGGTTTGTTTAGTTTGTATAAATTGTATTTGATCTAGGGATAGACAATTGACGACGCGTTTATTCCCTTGTCAAATTGGCGCCGTTGCCGGGGAACGACTTCCATTACCATTATGTTATCTTATTGAGACTAGTCCATTGTTTATAATTTTCATTCTATTTGTTGGTTTTTTTTTATTTGTGTTGCTTTATTTGAAAAAATGGCTTATATTTCTATTCCTCAATTTGATAATGAACCGTTTTGGGTGTATTTTAATAGACTTGAGGAGTTCCTAGATGGTGTTAAAGGTTTAACCAAGGGTGATTATTGTGAAATCATCAATTTGGGATTAAATGAGCATTTTAGAGGAGTAGTTGATAATATGTTAAATGGTAAATTACAAGACATGTCTTCGTATGAAGCTTGGGATTTCTATTCATGGTTAGCTAGGGATAATTATGATTGGGAGAGGGCCAATCATGAGACTTATGTTTGGGATTCTCATGTTTTTAATGTTGATGCTAATTGTCATGATTTGTCTAATATGAATTCCCATGATGTGCTTGATGCTCCCCATAGTGACCATGTAATGCATGATTTCAACTCCCCTCCCTCTATAGCTCAATGTAGTGAGGTTAATTCTAATGATGATGAAGTGCATGTTCTTTCTCATATTGCATCCGATTTTTGCATGAATTCTAAAGGTGTGCCCCATAGTCCCCTAGATGATTCCAATGAGCAAGCTTTTGACTCGTCTATCCATGATGATTTGGACTCATTTGAGATTATGGCCCAAATATTTCTTGAGTTTCAAACGGTAGCCCATAACCTTATGAGTGAGTTCATTGATAAGGCTTCATTAGAAAGAGATGAGTTTGAGAGAAATTTTCCCCTTTTCACTCTTGATTTTGAGATAATAGGCCTTGAGAAATTTAAGGGAGATGTTGTTCAAGGTTGTGAAGAGGAGGTTGAGGTTGAATCGCTTGGAGTTTTTGAGCTTGAGGGAGATGTAGAACGTGAGGGTTCTTCATTTGAGGATTCCATGATTGATTTTCATTCCCTCATTAGTGATGTGAGATTTTGTGATGAGGGATAAGCTATCCCTTTTTCCCTTTCTCATACACCTTTCTCCCAAAGGTTTAACCATATCTCCTACTATCCTATGTTCCTCCCTTCTTTTCTCAAAGAACCTCTTAGGGATCTTCTTCCTAGTCATGCTTCCGAAGCCCCCAACTCTTTCATTGTTGATGAGGAAAAGAGTTATAATGCCAATCAAAAAGATTTTTGTGAGGAGAGTTTGCCTCCCTATTTTTCTTTTTATTCTTCTACTTTTTTTTTCTTATTTTCTTGATTTTTCTTTTGATTCTTTTAATTTTTCTTTTCTCCCTTCTCTCAAGCATAAAGTCTCCTTGTACTTTATGTTTGCTTGTCATATGAGCATCGCGTATGCTCTATTTCTTGATATGTTTGCCGGTGCATATGACAAGCTTTTGCGTTCTTTGTCGGGTTATTTACTAGATTGGTCATGCTTGGACGTTAAGCAAGCCTTTGCGGGAAGTAACCCGTGTTTTATTGCTTTCTTTTTCTCTCTTTTATGCTTCTCATTTTTGTTTCCTCTCTTGTCTATGTGTATAGGTTCTTGATGCATATACTCATGTGCAAGGATTTTTTATTGAGCTCCTTGAGAAGAAGCACACCAATGATTGCATGCATTTGGAAAAGCAACAAAGACGAGGAATTAGATGAAATTGTGGACAATGTGCTCAATTGCGGGTTTCAACACCGACCTCACATTAGGTTTACTCTTTCCTTCTTCCCACATCTTAAATTTGCTTTCTTAAATGCATGTGGATTGAATGAATTTTGATTTGTTGTGTGAATGTGTTTTCTTTCTTCCCCTCCCTCCCACCCTTTGTGCCTTTATTGTGAGCATTGAGGACAATGCTCCATTCTATCTTGGGGGAGTAGCTATTCGCTAGCTTGGGGGGTTATCTATATCTCTTGGTGGTTTCTTAATCCATAGTCTCATGATTGCTTGACTTATTTCTCTCATACTTGCCAAAGTCTATTATTGAGATTGGTTTTCTATGTTTGGATGGCCATGAGCGCCTTATTGAATTGACTTTTGGTATTTGTAGCTTTAATTGATCATGCTTTCATCTTGCATAATTGTATATGCATTCTTGAGTATTGTTGGGTTTGTGAATATTTGTGTGTATAGTGTCTTTCCATGGCATTCAAGGCAAAGTTTCAAAATGTTTTGTTTTAAACTTAGACATAATTGGGCTTTAGCACCTAGAATACCCTCTTTGCTAGTTGTTAGAGGTTTTCATGCCCTTGAATGTCGAGGTTGGTTCACACATATAACATTGCCAAGGTAGTAGAACTTAAGGGCTATGAGACCTTAGCTCACTTGGTTTGTGGTAAGATGGTTGTCGCTCTCTAGCTAGTTGAAACTTTAAAGGTGATTTTTGCTACTCCACTACCGTCATTCTTGTGAGGATGTGTCTATATTGTTCTAGCCTTCTACATTTCTTGCATGTGTGGCGTTTGGATCCATGGCATTGCTAGCTCATATCGAGAATTTGACTTGATTGTACCCGAGATCGAGACCGAACCAACCTAGGGTAAGACGAAGGCAATTATGATTTTTGTTTTATTTTACTATTTTCTATTCTTTTATTTTTATTTTGCATTTGCTCATTTAGTAACCCAATTTGAGCCATTTTCCCTTCTTTGGCATAACCACATTACAAACCAATGGACCTTTGCTTTATTTTCACCTTTATTAGTTTTTGTGAAGCATTCTTGGGACTTGATTTGTATATTTGGTTAATGAAAGTGAGAAAAAGAATGAAAAAGAAGTGAAAAACTCAAATTTTGGTACCTGTGATTATCTTTGTTATGTTGAATGGTTTGAGAAAATGAGAAGAATATAAAGGAAATAAAAGAAAAAGTCGCTCAAAGTTAAAAGAGGCGAGAGCAAAGAATAAAAGAAATGAAAAAAAAGGAAAGAAATTTTTTTTTTGAGAAAATAAAAAAATATTTGTTGTGTGGTTGAAAAAGAATAAGCTTGGGGGAGGAGTTGCTAGAATTTTTGATTTGAAAGTTGGTAGTTTATTGAGTTTGAAATGGGGATGATCAACCTTGC